TATATATATATATATGTAATATGTGCTTATAAACAATTAAAAAAATATTTTCTGCGACAACTAAACAGAACCAAGTCTCGTGACGTTCTAGCAAATCTTCTGTCACTTATCGCAATTAAATAAGCTATTATTTAAATCAACTATCTTTCGTTCATGTTCGTAAAGGTTCGGCCAAGATCGTACTACGCCAGTGAGAGCATCGCAAAACCATACGGGTGTGTACCACACATTTCTATATATATATATATATATATATATATATATATATATATATGTATTCGTATGTGTAAGAAAAACAGTGGTTCTCATTCGATAATCATAAGAGAAAGTACGCAAATCTATTATTATAGTCGATTCGTTTAATAATTTTAAATGAATTCATTGATAATTAACATATCGGAAGGTCAACATGAAAATGTATAATTCAAAAACGTTGATGATTTAGCATAAAATATAAAAAGTAATTTATCATAAACAAGGTAAAAATAAATTCTTAACAAGCAAAAATAAAAACATTTCAAATTCCACTTTAACTTTGATAATCTATTCGATAAGCATATAAATATAGAAATCATTGTGTAAACGGAATATCTATTTAACGATACGAACAAAAATGATAAAAAATAAAACAATAAGTAACTTATAATATCACCACCATATGGAATTGTTGTAGTTATATTTGAAATGATTTCAAACGAAACACTATTTGTTTAAATCGAAAAAAAGAAAAAGAAAAACTATTATAGTAAATTCATTCGTTACTAAAGGTAATACTTTCACAAAACTCATACCGAGAGATTCAGGAAAAGAAAGTTACATAGATGGGGCTGCCTATGGAATTGGCGCGGAATCGCCAACGAGTATCTTCTTTTTCTTTTTCTTTTTTTTTTTTCATCGTACTCTTTCGAACGACCCTCTTTACTTTCTTTCTCCTCTCCTCTTTACCCCGTTCCCATGTCTATATTTTTCTTTCTCTTTGAGGTATCTACAAACATACACACACACAGAAAAGTGAGCACGAGCGCGAACGCGGGCGCGGGCGGGCGCGGGCGTACATACACACATACATATACATATACATGTATACAAGAAGCACTATTCTCACAACAGTTGAACGAGCGAACAGATCATTGCGCTTGCGCAACTGCGCACAGTGACTGGTTGATGCTAGTGGTACCGCCACCGCCATCGTAATTATTGTTGCACACCTAGAAAATTGTGCATCTTTTTTAGATACGTTCCTGGATACTACGAGAGAAGAAAATCAACACATCTACCCGACCCAATATCTTCGTATAAATCTACGAACAGTAGACTACGCGAATTTAAAACCCTATAAACTTTTACGATTACGACAATCATAATAATAATAATAATAATGATAAATAACTTGGAACTTTAAAAACGCGTATTTGAATTTTCGCTTCATTGGATTATTTAGTATTTTATTTTTCTTCTTCTAAATTGAAGAAACCCACAAATGAAAGAATAACTTTTAAAGAAAAAGATGGTATGTTACAAAGATGAGATAGAAAAATATCAAAAAATAAAAAAGAGATAAGAGAGAGAAAAAGAGGATAAGAGTGAAAAGGAGAGAGAGAGAGAGAGAGAGAGAGAGAGAGAGAGAGAAAGAAAGAAAGAAAGAGAAGAGGAGAGAGATCAAAGGGGTTTTACGACACTGGCAGACGGTGCGATATTGCTTCGTCGTGCTTTCTGCTTTCTAGAAAAGGTCCTAGACACGCTTCTTTCTCTCTCTCTCTCTCTCTCTCTCTGTTCCCCCTTTTAGTTCTTCTCTCTTTACCGATCTTTCTCTCTTTCTCTTTCCTACTGATGGCAGAGCTTTCCCATATTCCGCCTGCGCAGCCCGTTATTGCTATATAGTATGGTATAGTTCTACTATAATGGATCGCTATAGTGCGCCATGCGCTTATATCGCGCAAACATACTACGCGCAACCAACCAACCAACCAACCAACCTCCTAGGACTGTATCGATGGATTCGAGAATCCCTCTCTCACCGTTGCGTATTTTAATATCGATCGGATATTTATTTTTGTCGAAACTAGTTCAATGATTGGAAAACTATCATAACTAACTAAAATGTAAATCATGAAAATGTTATTAAAATACATTATATTAACCAGTTAACTGTGACTGACAAGTATACTCGTCATGTAGAAGTGACTCGATTTAATGTATCAACGTGTATACTCATCGTGCGTATAAAACAGTGACCATTGGCTATTTAAATTGTAAACTTAAAGAATTTTTGAGAAAAACAAAATATATTATCAAATTTCAAGATGTTTGGAATATTTTGAGACCATGCAGGACTAAAACGTACAAATAAAAAATATAAATAATTTGAGATGCACTCATGCATTCCTCCATATGCACCGGCTGAAACAGCTTATCAGTTAATGAATAAATAAGTAAATAT